AATTTTTTAAGTTGAGGAGAAGAGAATGAGTGGACTCCCAAGCACATAATGCAAGTTTTACTGAAGTTTAAAGATGTCAATTTAAGTAAAAATAAGAGTGTCAGGTCAATTCACAGGAAAGGAGAGCAGGTTATGGTGATTCCTGAAAACATAAGAATTTAGACTTGACACAGTAAGCCATAAATGCTTATAAGCAGAAGAGTAGAAAAAATCAAATGGCTAATGTTGAAAAATGCTGAAAATGTTGAAAAGAATACAAAAAGAAAAAAAAAAAACAATAAAAATCTTAAATGTGCAATAACTAAATCATGCTTCTCAACCTGGGCTCAGTCTCATTCACAGCAATTATTTGGGCAATAGACTTAAAAGGTCACTAAGAAGGACCTCTGAGATTTAAATACCAGCCCTGCCACTGATTAGTTTTTAAGTGTACTTAAGACCAGTTACTTTATTTCAGACAAGATCAGGCACGTTCAGGGTGATATGACCAGTTACCTTATTTCTAAGCTTTAGTTTCCTGTGTAAAATGGGTAAGAAAAAGCCCAGCTCACTGGACCACTGTAATAATTAAAGGAAATAACACAAGTAAAGGTCCAATAGATAGTGTGGGATATAGTAAGTGCTCAAGTAGTGTTAAAAGTTATTAAGGCTGGGCACAGTGGCTCCCGCCTATAATCCCAGCACTTTGGGAGTCTGAGGCGGGTGGATCACCTGAGGTCAAGAATTTGAGACCAGCCTGGCCAACATGGGATAACACAGTGAGAAGTTGAGGGGAACCACTCTCACACCTTGCTGGAATACTCTCTAAGGAGGCAAGAACTATCAAAATTAAAAACCTAGCCTTTGGCCCATTTCCACATCAAGTAATCATTCCTACAGCTATACTTATACAGCACTATTTTTTTAAGAGTAAAAGATTACAAAGCACTAAATAAATCATGGAACATTAATATAGTATAATACTTTGAAGCTGTAAAAGAAGGGAGCTGCTTTATACATGAATATACAGTAACTTCTAAGATACACTTTAAGGGAAAAAAGTAGGTGCAGGGGCCGGGCGCGGTGGCTCACGCCTGTAATCCCAGCACTTTGGGAGGCCGAGGCGGGCGGATCACGAGGTCAGGAGATCGAGACCATCCTGGCTAACACGGTGAAACCCCGTCTCTACTAAAAATGCAAAAAATTAGCCGGGCGAGGCGGCGGGCGCCTGTAGTCCCTGCTACTCGGGAGGCTGTGAACCCGGGAGGCGGAGCTTGCAGTGAGCCGAGATCGCGCCACTGCACTCCAGCCTGGGCGACTAAGTGAGACTCTGTCTCAAAAAAAAAAAAAAAAGTAGGTGCAGGATATCACACTACCATTTGCATGGGGAAAAAATATGAAAAAGTTAGTAAATTTGTAGAATCTCTCTGATGGGCATAAAACATTAGTAAAAATGGCTGTCCCTGGTTAGAGGAACCAATAACTAAGGTTCAAAAGAAGACAAGCAGGACTTTCCGTTGGATGCCTTTTTTTTTTGAGACGGAGTTTCACTCTTGTTGCCCAGGCTGGAATGCAATGGCGCAATCTCGGCTCACTGCAACCTCCACCCCCCTGGGTTCAAGCAATTCTCCTGCCTCAGCCTCCCGATAGCTGGGATTACAGGCATGTGCCACCACGCCTGGCTAATTTTGTAGCAGAGATAGAGTTTTACCACGTTGGTCAGGCTGGTCTCGAACTCCTGACCTCAGATGATCTGCCCACTTCAGTCTCCCAAACTGCTGGAATTACAGGTGTGAGCCACCACGCCCGACCCTGGATGCCTATTTTTACAAGATGGAGTCTTGCCATGTTGCCCAGGCTGAACTTGAACTCCTGTACTCAAGCAATCCTTCTGCCTCAGCCTTCTGAGTAGCTAGGACTCCAGGTACATGTCACCACACCCAGTTCTGGATGCCTATTTTGAAAATGTTGCCAATGTAAAAAAAATTGTAAAAAGATAAATGAAAATAAAATGAAACAAGATGTTCACAGTTACCTAGACTATCTATGTTGTGACATGACAGGTGGTTTGTGCTTTCTTATGCATTTCTGTAATATATTGAGCTTATTTTCATAACAAAATATTTTAAAGAAGAGTATAAAGGAGGAAATTCCCGAAAAGATTACAAAAAAGATCTAGAGGGTAGGATGAATATGGAATATTTATGCTATAATAGGCAAGGCTAAATAAAGCAGACTGTTATTCTAACAATGAGATATACAACTGTGCCTTCCATAGTCTGAACTAATCCTAGCAAAACTGTGAAAGGCTAGGCTGGCGACTAAACTCTCAGGGCATTTTTGATGCTGCACAAAGCAGTCTAAACTTCAGTCCATAGGCTTTTGTTGACATTAGAGCTGAAAATGATGAAAATACTATTAAGATGAAACTCATATAACAGAATGGGCCATTCTAGGAGGAAGAGTAGCCTATTTCTGGCCAACAGGCATATCTTATACGGCTCTAGTAGTGTCTGATAGGTCTGGAAGAGCCATAAAGTCCAAAAGCTGTGCATTCTCAAAGCCAGCCACCCATATGAGGATAATGTGGTTTCCTTTAGACAGGTGCTGTTTTCCTGTGCTGTCGCCTGACTAGGCTTATTGCTTTTATATACTTAACTTTTCTGGTCTCCAGACACTGAGTTTCTGACTGCTAACAGGTACCTGAATTAAGTCCCCAGACCAGATACAAGCCAAAGGGTCTGGACTAGAAGGGTGGTGGTAAATCTGGAAAGGCACAGCGGAGGAACACAAGATGCAGGCTGCCTTCTGGGGGAGTACAGACTCAGGAGCCAAAATGCCCAGGTTTGAGTCCTGGCTTCCCCACTTACTAGGTCCATAACCTGGCACCAATGAGTTACTTAATCTGTCTCGTTTTTCCCCATCTGTAAAACTGTGATTTAAGAGTACCTACCTCATAGTGGTTTAGGGTTCAGTGAATAAATATTTGTAAAGCATTAGCATAGTACATGGCACAGAATTCATTTTTGTTAAAATTTATTGCATGCCTACCATGAGCTCAGTTCTAACAAAAATTAAAATTCAGACTTTACATTTGATAGGTACTGCAAAGGAAAAAAAGTGCAATCAAAGTTGACAGTACAGTGGAGGTTTAGCAATTATCTACAAAAAGGTAATTAAAATCCTGACAATAAATGAATTATCCAAGGGAGAAAATTTAGATAAAAATCAAAGAGCAGATGACTAAGCCTAAAAAAAATAAAAATAAATAAAAATTTCAAAAAACAAAAACTCTCTGATTGGATGTGTGAAGACAGGAAGATGAGGAGTCAGATAAAGCATGATTAGAATAGTGTTTGAAGGCCAGGCGAGGTAGCGCACATCTGTAATCCCAGAACTTTGGAAGGCCAAGGAGGGCAAAGCACTTGAGGCCAGAAGTTCAAGACTAGCCTGGCCAACAGGGTAAAACCCTGTCTCTACCAAAAATACAAAAATTAGCCAGGCTTGGTGGCAGGTGCCTGTAATCCCAGCTACCGGGGAGGCTAAGACATGAGAATCGCTTGAACCCTGGAGGCGGAGGTTGCAGTGAGCCAAAATCACACCACTGCACTCCAGCCTGGGCAACAGAACAAGACTGTCTTTAAAAAAAAAAAAAAAAAAAAAAAAAGGGTTACCACTTGAGAAACTTCCAGTAACAATAAATCCATTGCACACCGGTAAATTAGTTTTCAAAACACTCATCTCTCACTGGATCCTAATAATGGCCCCATGAGGCAGAGGAATCATCTCCATTTTACTAATGAAAAAAGTTTAGAAGTTAAAATATTGCCTAGGATCACACAGCTTATCAGTTATAAAACAGAAAATAAAAACCACTATTTTATGTATATCATTTTCTCCTGTAAAAATTCTGTAAGAATCAGGATAATTCTAGCTCCATTCAATGCAGCAAATATTATGCCCCCTCCCATTTTTTAAAAATAAAAACCAAATGACTAAATGAAGACATTTGCTTTTTATTTGAGATAGGGTCTCGCTGTGTCATCTAGGCTGGCATTATCACGGCTCACTGCAGCCTCAATCTTCTAGGCCCAATCAATCCTCCCACCTCAGCCTCCCAAGTAGCTGGGACTACAGGTACTTGTCACCACAGCTAGCTATTTTTTTTTTTTTTTGTACAGTCAAGGTTTCACCATGTTCCCCAGGCTGGTCTCAAACTCCTGGGCTCAAGCAATCCTCCCCACCTTGGCCTCCCAAAATGCAGGGATTACAGGTACGAGCCACTGTGCCTGGCTGAAATGTGTTAAATATTGATGTCAGAAATAAGCATGCCCAGAAAAAATACATATGACATTTTTCCTTTTGCCCAACAAGTATGTTTATGTTTTACTGATTTTTAAAAAAACTTTGCTCATTTCCCCTAAAAAATATCTGAGCATTTACTATAAGTCAGGCACAGCTACAATGTTAATGTGAAGACTCACATCATTATTGTACCCCATAAATATGCACAAATATTATGTGTCAATGCAAAGCAAAACTTAAAAAAGAAAGATTCTCTTCTCAGAGAGCTTAGTAGGGAAGAGACACTGGTAAATATGCAATTTTGATATAATGTGATAGATGCTGCAATGAGTATATGCCCAGGAGCAGTGATCCAATCTGGGGAGAGGCAGGTGTGGTGTCAGGAAGGAAACAAATGGAGGATGCGTGGGAATTAGTCAGGTGGCACAACTGCAGGGAACTGGGAAAGTGTGCCAGGCAATGTGTGTACACATAGGCTTAAGAGTAATCAACATAGGGAAACATCACACACCAGGGCCTGTCGGCGGGTGGGGGGAAGGGGAGGGAGAGCATTAGGAAATATACCTAATGTATGAGGGGCTTGAAACATACATGACGGGTTGACAGGTACAGCAAACCACCATGGCACATCTATACCTATGATACATTCTGCACATGTATCCCAGAACTTAAAATAAAATTTAAAAATAATCAATAATACTTATACCACAAGTATATAATATCCACTCAATTTTAATTATGTTACCTTTTATTATTTTACAATGTATTTCAAAAAATGCTGTTACAGTTGCCTTAACTGCTCTATATGATCTGGAATAAAGAACTCTTAGAATTAGAACACACAAACATCAAGCAGTAATACCTACTTGTCCTGAAACATTACTACCAAAGGGATGTAGTTTTTAAATAAGCAGATGCGTGGCAATGCAAAATAAAATACAAATTTGTTAGAACAGTAAACTTTGCTTTAATGGTTATAGAAAGAAGGTGGTTTTATTTTCTTTTTTCAATACATCTGGTTCTGGCAGCAAGTTATATTATGCATTTAGAGCAATAGGTGCCCTGAAAGTTGTTGGGTTTTTTTTGTTTTTTTGTGTTTTTTTTTTTTTTTCAGTTTGTGTGTGTCACTTGAATGAGAAACCAAACACATGAAAAAAAAATATCCTCAATGCCTCCAGTAACTCTCTCTCCAGAAGGTGATAATGTTAGTGACCTCAAGACTCTCACTGATGATGGTATTTTACAATGAAAACACAAGGAAACCTTTTGGGGTCCAATTTTCACATCATGTTCTCCAAATAGTAAAATAGCAGCTCTGCATGTTGATGAAAAGAAATTTCAGTTTCTTCTTGTTTTTAATCATATCAACATTAATATGTATCTAGATTAATTTCCAAAAAAGAAAATTTTAGTTACCAAATATTTCAGAAATTTAATAAAGTATTACATATATGTAATTAGCACTTAACTACCAAAAAAAGTATTATATGTGTATTATTTATTTATCTTACCTTCACTGAAGTTCTTTTTTTCTGGCTGGACATGAGAAACAGGATTAAGCGATCAATCCTGGCTTTATTTCTTCATAAGCTATAATTTGGGTCTTTTTCATTCAACACAACTGCAGCATTTTCATAAAAAATTCACAAAAGGCAATACAAAGAAACACCTACTGAATAGAATTCTGTCGAGCAATTCATGTTTTAAAGTTAGACTCTATACCAAAGTGGCATTAGGGTATTATAGGCATTTGATTTTTGTTTTCTTTTTTTCAGTTTGTCAGTTCTTTACTACATTATCTTTTTCTAGCAGGAGATAACGTATAATCACAAAGTAAGGCCTAGAGACCATTTACAGTTGTTTGCAATATCATGATCAGATTTAACTCTCAAGAGCTGATATAAGCCAAAGTGAAAAGAAGTCAACCAGAACCACATTTGGTCACATTCAAATAGTCTCCAAAAACACTTCACTAATATACATGTTTCCTTCTTCTTGACTGATTTTGTGTTAATTTTATTAAAATTATAATGAATAAGGCTGCAAAATTTTTGTAGAGTTGTTTTTCTAGGGGACTATGTTCAAATGAATGTTTTTACTTTGCAAAATGTCATTAGTAATGTCCTTTCTATAAACATGGTTGGCAAAATAAAAAGGCACAAAAGAGGGTAACAAGAAATGTTTCCAGCTTTCAGTGAAGAGTACAAAGCATGTATCCTTCATGAAGAAAAACACAGTAAAATATTCAGTAATTCATGCACAACTTGAGCTACAAGAAAACTTTTCTTCAGGTAGGTCCTGAGGCTTGAGGAGAAAACGAGTTTTCCTAATCACGTGCTTCATGTAAAATAAAATGTAAAGCTGCACATACACGTGTGTTTTAACAGTGGACCCATGGTTTTTAAATATGAGGCAATTAAATGAAAGAAAACAAAACCAAAATACTTTCATAACAAAGCAACTCCATCCGTAGCCTGTCCTTTTTACCACTCAGTGGGGTAAAATGTCCAATAAAATGTAAAATGCAGCATACGCAATCATGTAATCTAAAAACTTTTCATGATAACTTATTGCAAATTGCACTTGACAGTTCACCACAACAATGGAAAACTGGCCCCTTGTTGGTTCACACAGTCCTTGAGCCCCAAAGTGAAGTCACCAATAAAATGATCTGGATAAAAAGTTTGCAGCTGTGCTCAGCCAGCTAGCTCCACCTTCTGGGTGTGAGCCAACCCGGGACACCGCTTTGTCCTGTTCCTTTGTGGGACTCTCATCCTCAGGCAGGTAGTCAGGTAGCTCTGTGTTCTGTTCTACTTCCACAGGAGTATCTTGGAATGGGACCAACATCTGATACAGAAAATATTAACAGTTATTACAAAATCAACTTTACCCCTTATTCTAATTACCATGGTTATTCTCAGGGTAAACTTTCCTCTTCCATGACAGTAGGCCCAATTGCTGAGCAGCGTCAATACAGAAAGGAGTAAGCAGAGTACAAGTAAGAACTCAGAAGCTGATCTGCTGAAATTCTAGGAGTAAATGAGCAACCTTTCTCTGTGTAATAATGACTAAAGCAAGTGTCTAGCCACTGCAGGCCACTGGATAGCCATGGAACCTCCCATCTATGTGATGGGAACCCAAATGAGCTCAAGGCATATTTGTTTCCCCCATCACAAAGCTAGTGAAGAGAGTAGCAAGATACAAGGATTTTCACCCTATTTACTTGCTCAGTGGATACACCTTTATTTTTTGGATTGTCAAAATTAGTTAAGGTTATGAAGAAAGTATTTAAAAATAAATGCAAGGAAGACACATATCCTTTATTTCCAGGTAAAAATCGGCAAGAGCAGACTCTGATATCCACAAAAGATGTCTCTATATTTCTAAAATAGTTAACTGTTAACTAAGAAACAGCACATCCTTACATACTTGGCACTATTAATTTAGAAATACTGGCAATCTGCTAGCCATAAAAAATAACTGAGAGTGAGTTAGATATAAAGAAAATTAAATACAACTTTTACCTCTTCTCCACTTTCACTTTTCACAACTTGCTGAGCTTTCATAACCTTGGTTGATGCTATTGCTGATGCCAAAGCCTAAGTCAAGATAAAAAGGAACGACTTTGAAACTGAATTGTTTACCTGTAATCTTAAACATATTAAGCATTTTAAAATACTTACCTCAGCTTTCAAATCTGAACGGATTCGCACCACACACCTTTGAACAGCCATTTGAAAAGTAAAGCTAATAACACCTTTAATTTTTAACAAAGCCTCTTCACATAGATTTCTCCGAGACTGAAAAAGTAAAAGCAAATTGTTATGAAAATAGGTAAATAAAAGGTAATAAATCAGCTAAAACCAAGTTATATTTTGGAGGGGGGAAGGCAGCAAATGACCTATTTCAGTTTTACCATCTTATTTCAGGGCAAAGAGTGGGGGAGTGCTTAGTCAAATTTTTTAAATTTTATAAGATCAACAGAATAGTAATTCCTAAATTTTTAAAGCTTCAATACTAATATGAAGTTTTAATAATTTTTTTAATCAGAAAGAAGTTAGCCAAGGATAATTTACATCTTAAATAAAGCAGAACACAATACAGGGGAAAAAATACCACAAAGCAGAAAAGCAGAGGTTCTTCTAGCTCACGGGTGGGGAAAACCATAGTCCACCAGCTGTTGTTGTAAATAAAGTTTTATTGGAACACAAGCACACCCATTTGTTTACATATTATCTGAGGCTAGTTTCATGCTAATACAGCGTTAGTAGTTATGACAGAGCCCATCGTGGTCTACAAAGCCAAAAATATTTACTTTCTGGTCCTATAAAGAAAAGGTTTGGCCAGGTGTAGTGGCTCACGCCTGTAATCCTAGCACTTTGGGAGGCTGAGGCGGGTGGATCACGAGGTCAGGAGTTAAAGAACAGCCTGGCCAATATGGTAAAACCCCATCTCTACTAAAAATACAAAAATCAGCTGGGCATGGTGACGTGTGCCTGTAGTCCCAGCTGCTCGGGAGGCTGAGGCAGGAGAATCACTTGAACCCGGGAGGCGGAGGTTGCAATGAGCTGAGATTGTGCCACTGCACTCCAGCCTAGGTGACAGAGCGAGACTCCATCTCAAAAAAAAAAAAGAAAAGAAAAGAAAAGAAAAGGTTTATGATCCACACTCTAGCCTAAAAATCTCCAGGGATAAATTCTAATAGACTGAAGTTAGAATTAGTGAGCATTCACTGTTTAAGTCCCTATTCCTTAAATCACCTGGTATTATAAATATCACTGCATCATTCATTTATGGCATTCTTATGGTTACCATTGCATTCTCAAGGGTTAGACATACCTTATGTGGTTCTCATTTTCCTAATACTCTTCAAAACACAATATAACATGTACCCTTCAATGCTTCAATGCAGGGTACTGCATTATCCTGGCCTTCCACTTCCCCACTGATTATTCCAGCTCTGTCTCACCTTAACTCCAAAGTCCAGTGCCTACACTGACTTTCTTTCTGCTTCAACCCTCAGGAGATTATTCTCATCACTTTAGCCATCACTAACATTACTAACTCCAATATGACTTTCTTATTTTCATTTGTCTGTCAGACATATCCACTTTACCATCAAGTGGTCATCTCAACACAAGATCCAAAGAGAAAATGGAAAAAGTAACTGCATTTTCTCCTCATAGCTCCCTCTACCTCTGGCCCACATACACCAAATCACACACTCTACATTTTCTGATTTCTGTATTGAGAACAAGTTTTCATTTATATTTCTGAGGGGTCAATCTGCAATTGACCCATGTGCCAAGTCTGTAGACTATATCCAGTTTTCAAACTTATTTCCACATCCTTCAGAACAACTGCTCACATCATTGCTCATCTCCCTACTTCTGCATTTCAACCCTACTCAGGGAGGCCTGGGACGCGACAGTCTGTGGCACAGCACGGGCCCACAGTGGGCTCATCTGGAGCACTGTGTCTGGACCCTGCTCTGCAGGGGCCTGCATTTGGTGAAGCCCTCTTACAGGATTGGTGTCAAATAGCACCATGTTTATCTCGTCCACATATTCAACACCAGGTAAACTTAAAAGTGAAGTAAAGCTCGCACAATATATGTAAGTTAGGATATTATTAATCTGATCTCTTATTTCAAATGTGAGTAACATGAAAAGTAGAAAAACAACTTGTCTAATTTACCACAGGTAGAGTCTGGTACTAAATGCCAACCACATGCCACAGTGAGAAACGAGATTCGTAAGTCTAATTTATCTTTATTTCAACATAAATTAACACACTTTTTTAGCAAGCTTATTGTCTGCCTCCTCCAACTATGCTAGCTCCAAGAGAGGAAAAAGTTTTGCTTTTTGGTCATCACTGTATCCCTGGTATCTAAAATAATGCCTAACATTAGGTGCTCTCTTTTATTGTAAAAATTAGTACATTCTACCATGTGAACTTTTAGATTGGGAAATAAACTTCCAAAATCATCAGACTGATTGGTATTATTTTAAGTCTACAAATTTAGGAAGAACTGACATCCTTACAAACTTTCAGAAACAGGCATTTCATTCCACTTACTCCAGTCTTCTTATAACACTGAGGACATTTAATTTTTTTTATTGAGTCTCTTATGTTCTTATTAAGAATAGCCTTGCTACTATCACACTGATCATTAAGTTTAAAAAAACAAAAAACAAAAAACAAAAAATACCCCTGCACTCTTCCTAGCTGTTTGTTTTGTTTGGGAGAGTAAAACTACTTTTCTCCTTTTAAGAAGTGACTGATTTCCATATATTTAATAATGTCACTGGATTTTTAAAATATTTTTAAGAAATTTCAGATCATTCTCCTGGATTTTCTGTATTTACAGCAGTATCAATAGCAAATTATCAAATTATTGACTTACTGATATTATACTAAAGTATTTCATTATGTTAAATCATATTTACAACTCCAGGATAAAACTAGATTGTTTTTAGGAAATTATAATATTGTGATTAAAAGTTCAATTCTGGGCCAGGAGCAGTGGCTCACGCTTGTAATCCTAGCACTTCGCGAGGACGAGGCAGGTGGATCACCTGAGGTCAGGAGTTCAAGACCAGTCTGACCAACAAGGCAAAACCCTGTCTCTACTAAAAATATAAAAAAATTAGCCGGGTGTGGTGGCGGGTGCCTGTAACCCCAGCTACTTGGGAGGCTGAGGCACGAGAATCACTTGAACCCAGGGGCTGGAGGCTGCAGTGAGCTGAGATCGTGCCACTTCACTCCAGCCTGGGCAAAAGAGCAAAACTCTGTCTGAAAAAAAAAAAAAAAAAAGTTCAATTCTGAAGTCACACTACCTAGTAGTCCAAAAAATGTTGACTAAGCTAAAGTTACATAGGTGGAGCAAACAGTTAAGTTATTTGACCATTCTAAACTCAACTTCCCCTTCTATTATAACCTAGCACTTTGGGAGGCCGAGGGAGGCAGATCACTTGAGGTCAGGAGTTCAAAACCAGACTGGGCAACAGAGTGAAACCTCTATAAAAATACAAAAAAATTGGCGGGCCATGGTGGTGGGCATCTTTAATCCCAGCTACTTGGGAGGTTGAGGGAGGCAGAGGTTGCAGTGAGCCAAGATCGTGTCACACTGAACTCCAGCCTGGGCGACAGAGTGAGACTCTGTCTCAAAAACAAATAAAGAAAGATATACAAATAAAGAAAGAAAAAAGATATACACCTCTCTGTGCTGCTTGTCAGAACTGAATGAGAGAATCGATGGAATAAACTTATCACTAGTGCTAGGCTATGTCACCAAAAACATGTTAACATGATAGTACAGTACTAGAGTTAACTTGCTAATATTTCATTTTGGACTTTGACAATCATATTTTTACTATACATTGGCCTATATGTTTGTTTGTTTGGTTTCTGCTGTTTCTTTTTTTTGAGACAGATTCTCACTATGTTGACTAGGCTGGTCTTGAAATCTTAGGCTCTAGCGATCTTCCTGCCTTAGCCTCCCACATAGCTGAGATTACAGGCATGTGCCACTACACCTGGCTAGCCTATATTTTTGTGTGTGCTTTGCTGGGTTTTATTAGTTGATTTGTGCTAGCTTTAAAAAGAAACTGTATTATTCTTATTCATTAAAATTAAATACATGGTATTGGAGATATTTTATATATTTTAAGATCTTCCAGTGAATCAATTTATCTTTATCAGAACTTGCTTTCTAGAAATTGTCTCATGATCCCACTTTCAGTAAGATAGCTGTGGACTGATTTGGCTCTGATAATATGCATATGGAAGGTTTCTTCTCAAGCTTATTTACTAAACCCCAAATCCTGAGCCTAAGCACCTCAAACACAACTAGAAAAAGCTGTGGGCCAGGCACGATGGCTCACAATCCCAACACTTTGGGAGGCCAAGGCAGGTGGATCACATGGTCAGGAGTTCGAGACCAGCCTGGCCAACATAGTGAAACCATGTCTCTACTAAAAACACAAAAATTAGATGGGCATGGTGGCGGGCGCCTGTAGTCTCAGCTACTTGGGAGACTGAGGCAGGAGAATCATTTGAACCTGGGAGGCAAAGGTTGCAGTGAGCCAAGATCACGCCACTGCACTCCAGCGTGGGGGACAGAGTGAGACTCTTGTCTCAAAAAAAAAAAAAAAAAAAAGAAAAAAGCTGTGAATAATCTAATGTAACCTACCTGGCATTGCTAAAGAGGTAAGTGGTAATCTACCAACTGCTACCCCAAATACGTAAAGTTATATAATCTCTGTGCAAGGTAACTTCAGGGGAACTTCCAGTTGCAGTCCAGATGGATTAACAGGGACCAGATTTAGCCTCTAAACAACTAAAAATATAGACAAAATAAACATTTTTGTGTGTGTGTGACAGGATCTCACCCTGTTGCCCAGGCTGGAGTACAATGGCACAATCTCAGCTCACTGCAACCTCTACCTCCCAGGTTCAAGGGATTCTCCTGCCTCAACCTCCTGAGTAGCTGGGATTACAGGCGTGCACCACCACACCCCACTAATTTTTTGTATCTTTAGTAGAGACGAGGTTTCACCATGTTGGCCAGGCTGGTCTTGAACTCCTGACCTCATGATCCACCTGCTTCAGCCTCCCAAAGTGCTAGGATTATAGGTTTGAGCCACTGCACCAGGCTGACAAAATAAAATTTAAGGCCGGCCGCAGTGGATCATGCCTGTAATCCAAGCACTTTGGGAGACCAAGGCAGATGGATTACCTGAGGTCAGGAGTTCGAGACCAACCTGGCCAACATGGCGAAACCCCGTCTCTACTAAATAAAAAATTAGCTGGGTGTGGTGGCGGGCACCTGTAATCCCAGCTACCTAGGAGGCTGAGGCAGGAGAAAGGCTTGAACCCAGGAGGTGGAGGTTGCAGCGAGCCGAGATTGTGCCATTGCACTCCAGCCTGGGCAACAAGAGCAAAACCCTGTCTCAAAAAAAAAAAAAAAATTTTAAAACCAATGACACTAGAAAACATGCTTCTATCCGGGCTTGAAGTTTTATTTATGGCATGATTTTTGCTACAAATTCAATTTCTTTAGTAGATATACAATTAATCAGGTCATCTTTTTCTTCTTGAGTGAGCTTCAGTCATCTGTGTCTTTCATGAAACCTGTTTCATCTACATTATGAAA